TCGCTCAACCTCTCCCGGTCAATATTACGAATCCTCAAAATTTACCCTTCGAGTTTCTGGAGATTCGATGATCAGTTCTCACGGTTTTGCAGGTGTAGGTAAAGCATTGAGCACTAGGACAAATAGTGCAGTACTCGAATGGATTCCAGTTGACACTCGCTTACGCGCTGTTCAATGAGTGGTCCTTTTACGTGCAGACGCTGACAAGATGCAGAGTTCTGGACAGTTTGAGTGGCAATTTGAGTATGGTTGGCATGTTTCTTGACACTCGAAGAAGACAAAAAGCGTTAGTGAAACTCGCCGGTCTCTTCATATTCTATGTTCACCCACTGACTGCAGTTTGGATGAAGTGGAGGACGAGTTCTACTGAAAACTGTCTAGCCTCCTTCTGAAAACTAAACGTTCAGGTGTGGTTGTTGTTGCCGGTGATTTCAATGCACAAATGGGTAGTCTAAGTCAGACAAAAAGGCATCTAGGTGGCACTTTCAGAATCTCAGCTGAACGAACAGATAACGGTGATCGCTTACTACAACTGTGCTCAGATAATTGTTTACTTCTAACTAGCACAAACTTAAGACATAAAGAAAGGCATTGTCTGACATGGCGTCCACTGAGCTAAACTCACCGATGGACAAAGATAGACCACATTGCTATCAGTCATCGCTGGAGAGGGTTGGTGGAAGACTGTCGCTCTTTCTGGAGCACATGTTTGGATAGCGACTACAAGTTTTTTGAGCACATATATGTCTCCATCTGAATGAACGTTAAAAGACTCCAGCAAAGAGACCATTACGAGTCCAGCTCGCACTGAGAGCACTAAGGCCGCTTTCAGTAAGAAACCGGTTAGGCAGTTATTGGAACAGAACACTACCACTCATCCAGAAGGTTGGTGCCTTCTCCAGTCTGCTGTAAAAGCAACGTTGAAGACCGTAGCCGACTCTCAGACAGTGATTAAAAAGAGCCAGTGGATATCAGCAGCTTCTTTTAAACTAATGGATGCACGTGAGCGCATCCCTGCAGGGTCTGAATACAATGAGGAGCAAACGCAACTCAAATGTAGACTGACAAAATGTCTACCCAATGACCGCGAACAGTGGTGGGCAACGAAGGCTAAAAAGATGAAAAAGGCAGTGGTGATTGGTAACAGTAGACAATTATTTAAACTTATTGAGGAAACCGGGGCGAAAAAGTCAACAGTTAGTGAAACTTTAGCAGAGAAGGATGGGTCTGCGACTCACTTCCAGCGGAGACGACTGGAATGATGGGTGAAACACTTCGAAGAACAGTTCAACTGGCCTCCAACTACTACTGCGTTGTGCGCTATGCAGTCGGATCCCGAACGGAACATTAAGATATGATCCTCAACACTAGCAGAAGTCAAGAAAGCAGTAGGTAACTTGGAACGAGGAAGGGCAGCAGGTCCAGATGGACTAGTTTCTGACGTGTAAATGGACGGTGGCAGAGTGATTTTAGTCATGTTAGCTGAAGTATGAATAGGTGCATGGGAGTCAAATATGACCTCCTCTAAGTGGTTTGAATCACTGATTATCCAAGTCTTCAAGAAGGACGAGAAGTCCTCTTGTGATAACTACAGAGGAATCAGCCTGACGAACATAGTGTATAAGATTCTAGGTTCTATGATCATCAGACGCTTGAGTGCAGCTGAGGAACAGCAAACCAGAGAAAATCAGGCTAGCCTAAGATCTGATCATGGGTGTATCGAGTAAATATTCACACTGCGCCAGGTTCTGGAACACAGACACGCTTACCGACGCTTAACAATAGCTGCGTTTCTCGACTTGAAGGCCGTATTCGACTCCGTCGGTCGAGAAGTCTTATGTCAATGTCTCTCACTGAAAGAGGTACCGAGTAAGTACACCACCTTATTAAAGGCTCTCTACTCGAACAATTTGTGTGCATGTTAGAGCCTATGGTGAAATATCGGGTGAGATGTGTACGTCGATTGGTGTCCGTCAAGTATGACCACTCTCTCCATCCCTATTCAATTTTATCATAGATGTTCTTATGGAGGTCTTCTTATCGTTATCTGACTACACACGGATTGACCCAATTACAGGAGAATTTTCGGTTGACCTAGAATATGCAGGTGACATAGTCCTGTTAGGTAAAGACGCTGATAAGATACAGTCTTCTGGACACTGAGTGGCAATTTGAGAATGTCTGAGATGCGTCTCTCGCCACCCAAATGTAACTTGTTACTCTGGGACTGGTCTTCAACGATGCTCTGACCAACAACAGGGAGTGAATTGGTTGAGTGCGTTGAACACTTCACTTACCTGGGAAGCCGGAGCAGCCCTGATTGATGGATGGGTCAGTGACCGTTGAAATTTCAGCACGGATGCGAAAGGCTCAATTGACTCTTACCAACTTACGCCATCTGTGGTGCCGCCTCAATATCCGATTGTCTATTAAAGGTACAGTGCACTGTGCTAGTCTGTTCTATTCGACTGTGAAACGTGGCCGTTAAGGGTAGAGGTGATGAGAAGGCTCATCGGGTTTGACTACCGTTGCCCTCGTAGCACAGTTCGTGTGTCGCGGTGTCACCATGTGCGAACGAACGAAACACATTCAGCTACCTTGTGCACATCTTCGCAGTAGGTAATGAGCCACACCTGTTGTGTGGGGGCTAGTGATACTACCTGACTGTTAGTCCTCGGTAGATGGAACAAGCGGCTCGAACCCGCGACCGTGGTTGGTAGTCATCTACCTAAGCTATTGAGCCATGGCTCCACGGAGTCACCATGTCAGTAACGTAGATGTAAGGCCTAGTTTTAGGGAGGAGAGGAAAGTCAGTTGATGCGGTTGTGAACCTTCATCGACTGGAATGGCTGGGACATGTGTCAGCTATGTCTAGTCACCATCTACCTTGTCGCCCAACGCTAACTGAAGTGGGTTCAGGTTCTAAAAAGGCTTGGGGCTGCCAGACCAAAACATAGCATCACTGGATGAAATCTTTAACTGTTGGTTTCAGCCAAGTAAGGAGATGCAGACTAGCCGGCTAGGGTTCACACGACAACAGAACCAATGCTTGGATATTCTAGGTGATATCGCTCAGAACCGACGTCAGTGGTGCAGATGTACCCACGCTTTATCTTCACTTTTACCACTATACTGAATTTAGCATTTTCTTATTCATCCTTCCCCTCTTTTACTACTTTGTGCAGCACTTGACCGAGTTTTCTACCTTTCCTCATCTTTCATCTTACTACTTTGTTACTTGATGTGCTGATGTGAGGTGTGGCAACTTGGACCGCTGCGCAGCAATACTGATATTGATGTCATCTCATAAGACAGAAATTTACTTGTTCCCTATATATATTGGCAAGGTTAAAGTGCAATGAGAACCATTGAATCTACTCATAACTTCAGCATATGAAATTTGAGGCATCTATTCCATATAGTTAATTCACTAGAATCAGCTACAATTCTACTAGTCCAATACTTCACTGGGTGGGAGACACCACCACCCTGATTTCTTAGTAAAACGCACTAAACACCTGCGTGATGCTTAACTCAAGACACATCGACGCCAGTGCTACCAAGCAGACTGATGATAAGCAAATTGAGGGGGTGATTGTGAACGTTGACTACTAAATGTAGTTTGGTGTTACATGTAAATGAGCCACTGATCTATCATTTCTCAAAAACAAACAAGTGAGACTCTAAAACGAAATTAAACTTCAGTAGCGTCACAGACGATGGAAAACATAAGATAACCTCAACACGAGAGAGTAATGAGTTGCAGTTTGTGATTTCAAGCTACCAATAGATGACGTGTTTATAGACTTAAGTAAGGCATTCGATAAAGTCTCATAAAATTATTAGGAGAGCTCTCCTCTTTCGGGTTCAGTGCTGCATTACAAGCCTGGAATGAGAACTTCCTGTACGATAGAAAGCAAAGATTGAGGGCCAGTGGGATACTGTCTAGGTGGAAACCGTTTCTAGATCCCCTATATTTCCTACTACATGTCAGTGAATTACCGCAAATGCTCAATTCTTCAGTGCTTCTATTCGCCAGTGGTGTAATCGTTTGGAGTCATATATAATGATCCTGATAGGTATGCACTTCAAGCAGATTTGGATGAACTGGTAGGTTAGTCCAAACGTCGGTCTCCGGAAATCAACTCTAGTAAAGGTACAATAATGCACACTGGTCATAGCAATTGTTTCTGGCATTTCATTGATGGTACACCACTACTCCCAGTCTTGAAACTGGAAGACTCAGGCGTCATCATAAACCATGATTCGAAAACTTGGGCACTCTGTAATCCAGCTGCAGCAAAAGGCTTCTGTATATTATGGTCACCATCAAAGCTTTCAGGATCAGGATATGTTCACAATGATCTATTCTACTTACATTAGACCTCACTTGGAATGCTGCACTAAGGCGACCAGTTCATGCCTAATAAAGGATGCTGACATACTCGAGTGTTCAAAGGGTAGGTACTAAGCTTGTGGTAAGCCTTCTGAATCTGCCTCATGAGGAACGACTAGATCAGCTAAACTTATTGTCGATGTCTTACCGTAGGAAACGAGGTGACCTCTAGTGGCATTCCGTATCCTTCATAATGACTTCGGTACTGATATGTCATACGTTTTTCTTCTTGCCAGGACTGATAATCTCTGAGACCATCACAAAAAAACCCACAAACTGTGATCGAATCAACTTAGCGTGAATCTGCGTTTCTTTGATCGTGTGGTCAACGACTGAAACTCCTGACCTTAGCAAGTAGTATCGGCACCTTCGGTCATGTTCAAGAACCTAGGTCTCCATGTAGATGTATTCTGCAAGGATTAGCAAAGGCTAACTGGCCAACTATCCTTATCACTGAAAACAAATCGAAATAGTTTTACTACCGGCAACTCCAAATAATTGCTTACTAAAAGTATGCTGGATTTAAAAATACACGAGCAAAATATGGAGGTATTAAGTGCAGACAACTAATAATCCTCCATAAATCGACAGAAAAGAAACTCACAGGTCTTGTCCGGTTTTTCTTAATGATATCTTTGTTTTCCTTTTTGTAGTTTTCAATATATCTTTTCGTCTCCTCAACATTCTGGTCGTTAGTGAGATTATAAACTACAAGTTAATTCAGACTAATATAACCCTACCAATTTCTTCTATCTTTCAAGGTAGCTGTCATAATCTTCTAAGCAATCGAAGTCATCTTCTCGTTTGTTAAAACTTAAGACCGAACAATAAGTTAATTCACCAAATTGAAACAGACTCGCTCAGCACTTTTTTGCGGATATCGATTTCTTTTGCACTAGTGGATCCTCAAACAACTGATATCGAAAATTTGTTTTTCGAATAGGTGTTTTACACTGTCCACATAAACCTGAACCTCGAACAAAAAGCACTTCGACACAGTTTTCGCATCTTCGACGGGTCAAATCAAATATTCCTTTTGTACTTACAGTGAGTGACCACACACATTCACCATCAGCTTCAATTGAGGGTTACTGTACTTGCTTGATCTGCAGCTTGGGCATGTCTGTGACTGGTCGCTCATCTCATAAGGCCCGTTAACCTTGAGCGTACAAAGCAACCTCCTGAGTTATCAAATAATTCAATTTCGTATACCTTCAAACTTCAAAGTTAATGTTGTAGAAATAGTGAACGATAGTTTCCCGAGATCTAAAAACGTCTCATTGGAATACGTTCTTCAAACTTTGCTTTTGGAAATAGCAGGTAGTAGTGATCTAGGCTAAACGCTAAGAAAAATTTCAGTTGATTTATTATAACCGACCACAGTTCACCTTTTGGTTTCGTGAAAGTTGAAACGGCGGAGATAAATAGTAGCTTTTCAAAATTCTTTCCGGCCTTTCAGCGTAATCGGTAGGGGAATAAAAGAAGCTACTACACTGCTATATTTAATGCCTAGAAATAGCAGACTTTAATTTCCCATGGTTGCTCATTTATGTACATCAGAAGTCCAAAACGACTGAGGTTGGATAGGAAAATTTCGGCAGGCGGATCTCACGTTCCTGTGAGGTCCGGGCCCCGCATTCCCCTCGGATTGATATGAAAGCCCAAGGAAAAACTGCTCAGGATGACTATCGAAATAATGCCAGCGGATATTATTTGAAACTGTTTACTCCATTGCCATCATGCAGTTCTCAGAATTCTGACTGCTTAAGTGGGTTCACGTCGCAGGCTGCAGTGATGTCACGAAGATTGCACCTAGGAATTGGAATTGTGCTTTTGGGGGGCTTGCATTCAAATTTCAGTTGACGCCCACATAACAGACGATGTCAAATGTATGTTCGCATAAACCAAAGAGGTTGACGAAAGACAGAACACAACTTCAGGAATTTGGAACGTTGTGCACATATGACCTGCGCAGATTATCCGCATCCTACTGGCTGTGTTGGCGAATACCACAAATTTTACAATTTTTTCGTTCTACTTAGCAGGGGACGCATCCGACGGCAGGATAACGGGAGGAGAATGTTAAACAAGCGAGTGGTGAACACTCGATACCTTTTATCGAGATGCATACTTTCGCATAACCGAAAGTGCGTTTCCTCCCACCAATGCTGGTGAAGTGTGCTAGGACGATGGAAGTTAGTAGTTTTGTACTCCTTCGTAAGTGAGTATATCTTGAGAGGGGCGTGTGGGAAAGCGGCCTGTTTTGACGATCTGGATATCTTCAGAAATGTTGGAGCACTTTGAAGACGTGTTAAATCGCGGGTCTGTCCCTAAGGAACGCGGACTTGCTGACAATAAACCGAAAACCCGCAGCCATACAGTTCATAGGATTTGTCTTGTTATGTGTATTGTTATTATTTGTCCCTTGGGTTCCTAGTGGAACATAGGGCTTCAGTAGCACGTCTCCACTGCACTCCGTCCTCTACAGCCTTTTCAGCCCGCCTAGAATCTTCCATTTCTTCCCCACATGATCGCCCTCATGTCACTCTCAGCTGGGACGCCTGGCTCGTCGTTTGCCATTTGGGTTCCACTTGAGGGCTTTGCCTCTCCCCTTCGCCAGCCAGGTTTCCTTCACTATCTCTCGTCGGTTTCGCCTGCGTTGACCTCTTCCCAGATTGTAACTTGATTATCTGATAAAGTTTTGTCAGGTCTTTCCTACCAGCAGCCTGGTCTGCTTCGCTTGCCAGCGTGTCGTAGAAGTCTCTTGTTTTTCCGTGCACTTTTCTCTACTTCTCTGCCCATTGTAGTCTTTTATAAGTTGTGTTCGATTCCTCTTTTCGTTGTGCATCCTTGCACTGGTTCATTTTTTGCTTCACCATCCTCCTCCCCTCTACCGGCCCCCGTGTTTCCGTCTAGACCCATTCCCTGTCTTGCCTCTTCTTCCTAATACGGTTATGCAGGTCCCCTTCCACATCTCTTTCAAAGGGTACCGGCTTGTCCTACGACGACCAGTTCTTCACGGTCGTTGCTCAATCTCTCCCATTTCGTTCCGATGGCTGACGTGAAGATGTCCTTTGTAGTTTCGTCCTTCAGTTTCCGAGTGTTGAACTTAAACTGTGGTCTATCACCAACTTCTGTGAAAGCTTTCAACTTGATTTGCAAGGTCCCTTGCACAAGATAGTGGTCTGAACCTACGTCTTCTCCCCTTCTTAATCTTGTGTCAAGTAGACTGCGTCGATCTGATTTTTAGTGCACTGTATCCATCTGGTGAATTCTATGTCCCTTTGTGGATATCCTTTTCCTTGAACACAGTGCCTCCAATCACCAAACCGCTGAACGCGCAGAATTCTGCAGACAATTCTCCATTCTCGTTCATTTCACCCAGCACTTCTCGACCCATGGTTGGCTGTCTTCCTGCATTGTCCGCTCCCATTTTGGCATTCATGTTACCCATTAGAATTTTGATGTCGCCAATCGAAGTATTGTCTAGTATTGATTGCAGTTGTCTGTAGATTTCCTCCTCCTTCCCTCGACCTGCATTATTTGTTGGCGCGTAGCGTAACATTGTATGATTGTGACTTTCCTTCCCTTAGAGATGAACCTTGCTGTTATGATCTGATCCTGCTGGAGGAGATTGGTTCCCATTGTATGAGAGCCTTCGATGCCGTTGGGGACATCATGATATCCACTCCATAACTCAGTGTGCTGGTGGTTGTTGTCTGGGTGATAACATCGGAGTAGATTATTGACTCTCCAGTTGACGGTTTGGAGAGTCCACTTCCATTCCATCTACTTTTGCAGATTCCAAGCACTTATATGCCATACCCAATCATCTCTTTTGCAATCTGGGAAGCCTTGGTAGGCTCATACATGGTGCGGACATTCCACATCCCCAATTTTACCTTCGCTTTCGTAGAGAGAAGCCAGGATACATTGGTGAATTGGCTTCTTGAAGGCTTTCACCAGCCGACGTCATTTCGTCTCCCCGATTGTAGCGAGGAATAAGGTTGTTTTTATTTTTGATAATTTCTTTGTGCTTCGAAGTCCCCTTAGTGGTTGGATTGGTTTTCTGGGGTGGGGTTGCTAGCCCCATGCCCAACTATCCCCCCTTATTCGGGCTTACAAGCGGCTACTAACTAGTGAACTAGTTACCTAGGCGAGTTTCTTATTGTGTGCATGAATGATAATCGGCTTACGCACAGAAACGGCGGTTTTCAAGTGTGTTTACAAATACTCCATTTTTAAATTGAGAATTTAAAATGAGAGAAACTAGTTTACAGGCGTCATCAAATCGACGAGGATGCAGAAATCTCCATTAATTGAGCTAATCTGAATGATACAGAAGGGAGGACATCAGTATTTGTCATGATGTCAGAAGTGTCTGCAGGTTATGAAAAGAACAGAAAAATATCACTTTACAGTACATGAAGATTGTGTGTGAGCTCCGGTCGTTTCCATTCACCACTCTTTTTCCACGATAAAGCGGCATCAGGATCGCGCGATATTAGGTGTTTTGCGTTACGTGAGACAGAGATGCTTAACCCGTCTGTATGGTCCCGTGTTTCGTCATATAAACGTCTAGTTAACGTCTGTTTGCATGTTTGTCGTATCACTGGCCGTCAAAAACACTTCATCGACTTCAGATAACAGGAAGCGCTAACATAACCGCCTAATCCACGTGAATTTCCAGGTCCACACATTTCCCATTAGTTGTGTTACCTCACACAACGATGTGGATGAAAGCCATCGAAAATAGTTATCGCAGTAAAGAAAACAAAAATTTTAAGGACCATTATCCAATGGTAATGGAGTTTTGCACACAGAATTCACATTGAAGTAGGCAGCATTATCAAGGAGGTGTGTTGGCTGCTAACTGCCTTCTGTCAGGCGGAGTCAAATGAGAAAAAGTGCTGGGGGAGTTTGTCGCGTAGGTTTGTTTGCAAACGCGTCACTGATTTGGTTGTTTGTCAAGATTTTCGCCGCCATTACGATCGCCCAGAAGCCTCAGACCAGTTACTGTAGCTGAGTTTTCATATATGGCGGCACTCAGGATGTTGGTAACTGGGCGAATTTACTGTGGAACTTTTCAGAAAATTGGAAACCAGTGGGGGCAAACCAGTTGAAGAACTGTTTCAGTAATTTATGATATCTCGTACGAAGTAGTATGTTCAGCGAGTTGGTATTCTGGGTCATAACTGTGCTCAGGATTTTCTCCCCAACCTAAGGATAAAAAGAGAAACGAAAGGAAATGGTGGGGAACAGTTTGAATGCTCTCTTACAAACCAATCAGCACATTCAAAAGGCGCTTATGAAGAAGTAAACCATGCACTATAGAAAACGGCAGCTTTGCGACTTGTGTTTTTCCAAGCAGCCATTTGAAGGCGGTAATCAATTATGCAGGTTGAAATTCGTTTCTCTGTAGGAACCGAAATATGGATGTGTTAGGTGCCTCATGAAAATATTATTGAAATTGAACTTCGAAAAGAAGTGAAGATCTACTGAGTTTTACTTTTTATCACCTGTCATCTGTGCAGTCGACTATGTGTGTACGATCCATCCAGGTATACAAGTTTAAGGAAACAGGAAAAGTGAGAGTGACTTACCTAGCGACAAGAATTTCCGTTTATCCTGAACGCCGTGACGAGAGGAAATTCCGTAATGCAAAAACAACAAATATAAAGGGTTTGAAAAGGTAGACAACCCATGGCTCATCGTTTTTCACTTGTTCGGGTCCTCACCTATTAATTCA